TTGTTTCCTGACCATTTTAACTGATCTTTACATATTATAATTAATAACCTACAATATTTTCCCAAAATGTGATAAGTACATTTATACAATTTTTAAAGGTGTTAAGTGCRCTTTCAACTTTAATAAAGTCAAAAATTCAACTTATAAATTTCATAAATTAGTTAGTTTTCCTAATGTTTAAGTAAAAGGGTAAATGAACAATGCATTGAAACAATTTCATTTAAATTCATTATTTCTTATTCTCTCCTGTTATATATACTAATTTAAAAAAATTTAATTGGCTATACAGTAAAAATCATTATTTTTCACATACAATATTTTTTAATTAAGCTATCGATATGTTTGAGTTGTTTAAATATCACCATGCCTTTATACACTCAAATAGGTAATAATAATAATAATATTTAATGCAATTACAACAATTTATAAATGTCACATTTTGAGTATTCACAGTTCACAGTACATACAAAAGTTTCTCTAACACTCAAATCTGAACACTTCAGATGTGTCCTTATGTCAACGACAATTAACGAAGCAGATAGTAAATCAATTAAAAATGTATGCTGGTTTATTGTTTTATTATTTAAAATCTTAATTATTATAAGTATTTAATTGTCCACTGTCCAGTAAATMTCGAGACCATTTGCTTTGGAGTCAAAGGCTATTTAAGTTTAAAAAAAAATAAGCTGTACCTACTGAACTAAAAATGTTTATGTTATAAGTTTTTAAGACAAAGACAAAATATACTGGTGTATTGTTCTCTTAATAGAGGCTAAATTAGTTTTAATCTTTGACAATCTTGATAAATTTGATGATATATGAAAATCCCAGTTAAAGGTACTGATTAAATTTGGTGGAACCCGATAAAGCACAGTTCAACCACTTGGGTTTACTTGATATCCACCACGTATGTCTCTTAGGTAAACAAATAAATTGTTTTAAAATTTATATTTAGTTTTATTGTCGTGTTAAGTAAATATTTTTCTAGAGATTTAAAATATATTCTATTTTGTAAAAAAAAAAAAAATAATAATAATAATAATAATAAAAATCGGAAATATAAAATATTATAAATTATAAATTTAATAAGTAGATAGTAATAATTTATTCATTATAATAATTATTAAAATAACAATTTATAATCTATCCCAGTACTGTGGTTTTAATAATGAGTAGGTATTCACAGAATGTAATATTATTATTATTATWAATTTAAAAGGTAAAATGGTTAATTTCATATTTAAATTTTAAAAGAGAGGATATAATATACAATTAGTTAAAGTTGAGAATAATATTTAGYAACATTTAATTGAATAACATAATTTCAAACTTTACAACTTTTATAACTTTTATAAGTTGATCATCTGTACAAGTTTTTGATGTTTTCGAATTTATTAGGATTTAGCCGCCTACCCGTCACGGCTTCGCCCCTGATAGGTTGTTTATATTATCTTTGATCGATGATATTAATATGTAGAAATTTTTTCATTTAATGTGATAATTTATATAGATTATATATGTATATACATATATTATATATATATATTAAATTAAATTTCCGGACAACCATTCCGAAAACCAAAAAATAATTGATTACCGCACCTTCAAACGAACATTGTCACCACCGTCGTTATAATCAGTGCGGAGTGTGTTGTGCACCAATCATATTATCATTTTAATATTATAATATTACCTATCTATATTGATGCTGTTGCGAACTATTTTTTTTAAATTTTCTTTCGCTTGTATATACGATTTACGAAATATTTACATAGTAGGTACATTTTGTTTGTTAATTTTTTTTTTTTATCAACAAAAGTGGTACTAAAATCTTCAGCAGACTGTCAGGTATAATAGTAAAAACATTCAGCAAAATCGAATCAGAAGTTTTTTCGTTAAGGTCGTAGAAAAACTTTTACAATTTTATATAGTAGTTGAGATAATTTGATAGGTAGGTAATATAGTAATCTCTTCTGACGAAAAAACAACAATATTTACACCGTTAAAATTTCCAACCTGCTTCGAGGTACTAATATGGCATGACAGTGCCATTGCTATTTGTTTTTATATTAGTTAAACGTGGTGCTAGTTAATACAGCAATAAAAAAAACAGGTTATCATAACAACTGCTTTGTAATATTTCTGTAAATAAAAACAATAGAGATTGTAAAATAATATTATAAATTATTATCAAACTTGGGTCGTGCGGAATCTTTTTTTTATCTCAGATTTTCAATTTACTATTTCTTAAATGTACTAATATTAGCATTTATTATTTACTACGATATAATATATTCCTTTCAAATAATATATTATATTATACTTAATATAAAAACAAAAAAACACCGTCATGCAAACCTACAACATCGACACTAATATAGACGTCAGAGGTGATGCAACTACCGTCGATTTTTCGATTCCAGTGGCCGGTGCCAGTCTTCCGGTGGAGATCGTCGGCCGGCGGGTGTGCCAACCGCAAGACATGTTCGACTGGGAGCGTAGTGAAGCGCGAGCCGAAGTTTTGGTGTTCGTCCGGCACATGAACGATGTGACCAAGCGATACCCAGTGGCGACATCTGCGAGGCAGCTTCGGCGGTCACGTAACAACAACGTGAACAGGGCGTTGGTGGTGTTGCGAACTGTCAGTGAGTGGGTGGCTAAAAATTGTTTGCTTGTCGGTCAAGACAACCTTCCGAAGACGATAGCAGAGTGTTTCTGCCATTTCCACGGCCAGCTGCGGGCCGACGGACGGACCCTACTTGACAGGACGTACGACGGTCATGGCCTTGGCCGTGCCGACTATCGGGATGTCATGCTTCCCGTCTACTTAGAACAGAGCTTTGGTGAYCCAGTCACGATGACCTACGGGCCTGCGCACGAACTATCGTTCTGTGCTTTCCTCATGTCGCTGTTCAAACTATGCCACTTGACGTGGRCCGACGAACCGTATGTGGTGACCGTGATCTTCAATAAGTGAATAACGATAAATCATTTCAATTCGTATAAAAATCTATAAATTTAAGTAGAAACCAACCAATTCTTCATATTTATTGTGTTCAGTATATTATGTACTAGTTGATACGCGTGCACTTTGTTGCCCGTTAAAAATACCAACTCTATATGATTAAAAATTTGTGTTAAATTCGTCCTCACCTCACTGGTGTAGGTAGTGGTGTTCAAAATGTAATAAAAATATTATAATATTTAATATTTGCAAATAAAATATATTATGATCATATATTTCAATATTTAAACCACGGATCAGAAGCGTATATAAAAATAATTTTCGGGGTGGATAATAATATTTAGCAACTAACAATAATGATCTAGCACCTATAGGCGCACTAGGTCACCCCCCCATATAAACACCACTGCCATGGATATAGAATCTAAATAAAAATTTGATATAATATATACTATTACTACTCCTGAACACTACAGGCCATGATGGCCCTTTGATTTTTAAAACAATTCTTCTCCGCCCGTCCCAGTCTTTTGTTGCATTTTTCCAATTTTATATAGGTACTCAGCTGTAGCAGATCCTTCTTTACTTCATCCAAACATCTACTACTAGGTCATCCTTATCTTCTGGTTCCTTTCATTCTAGCATGCGTTATTCTTACAGCTTTAATGAATTTTACTACATTTTATTTTTCTTAGATTTGATCTATATCGTTCTTATTTCTTATCTTCAAACACAGCACCATATATTTTCCTTACCACTTTTCTTTCAAATATTTTTAATTTGTTGTTGTCCGAGTTTTATAATGTCCAAGTTTTGGCTCTGTAGCACAATACCGGCCTTTTAGAATTTTATATAAGATATAACTTCATCTTTGTGGCTTTCGATAACTGCTTTAAACTAAAAAGTGATATATTGGAAGTGGCGTGGCGTGGAATCATCAGTGGTGTTAGCAGTYACAAAAAATTGTACCCATATATACGTATAATTTATTTTTATTATCCCTAGAAAGCTGGCAATTTATTTTATGGTTTTTACTTTACAAAAATTATGTACAATTTTTTTCTTCTTTACTACATTCACGTATGGTAAAATGATTATTTATAGGACCATTATCATTATCATTCATCAAGCTCTAATTCAAATATTAATATTAAAAAAAAAAAGTTAATAATTGTGTTTGATTTTAAATATTAATAAACTAAGATTATAAGAGCCATGGTCTCTAGTCAATGACAATCCTTGCAGGAGTGCAATGTCGTAGCAACAAAATGAATAAAATAAATAAAATTACGTCAATTAAAATCATGATGGTTGGCCATAAACGCTTTTGAAAATCGCTTGTACGTCAGTATCACCACTTTATAAGTTTCTATGTACTAATTTCAATGTAATTATTTTTATTCTGTAAGCAGTACAGACTGTAATAATCTCATATACAAAATAAGAAAGGGAATTGGAATCGCTTACACGCTGTCTCATCGACGTATATTTATCATAGTTATAGAAAATGCATTGTTGAACTTTGAGTGCGTGTGCGGGGTAAGGGGGACATTTTACCGAGTATTACTGTGATAATCGATTTGCCTAACGACCGAAACCCCCTCGAAATCACTTATGTTATTTTTAGTTTTCTAACAAATAACATTAATAAACAATATAGTTATTTTATTTTATCATTATTAGAATTTAATCGTTGAATTTTAAAAGTATAACTACAACTGTTCACGATTGAAATTGTAAGCAACGCTTGCATCATCGCTTATATTTTAAGTAAGATTTTTGAATATTTTACATTAATCATCATCAAAATAATTTTTGTTTGAGTCAACAAGTATGTTTGTCATTGTCCCATAAACCACCCCAGTTAAATGAAATGATATTGATGTTTTGTGAGAAAAACACAATACAACTTAAATCAGTAGTATCATTATTTTTGGTAGGTACTTGGACGTTGTGAATCAAGTAATACAATTTTATCAGTTGAAACCATCAAAAAGCGAGTACGGTGGTAACTTAGGTAACTGGTACTTGAGCGGTTACCAATTCGTCGGGTTCCTGTGGGGCAGCGCGCAACTGGCGGGAAGCAGCGGCGACGGCGATGTCTCTGTGTCCGATGGCAGACTGTCGCTGTCGTCACCAGCGGCAGTCATAATGGATGTAGATGCATGCCGAAGCCACCGGGATGAGCACATATTTGCCAAATGCATGGACGCTGTGTACCGCCGGGCTGGAAATGGTGTACCATTGTGGTACCACTCGTACCAGCTGTGGAACTTGAMAGCTCTTAAAAGGTGGGACCGGGTAAACGGGTGCCTGTTGGCTGCATATCAGCGGGAGGTGTTAGACCGGTTCGAGGTCATCCACCAATTAGTTTTTTGCGAACTGTTCAAATTCGCCCAAAACTTACGTCCACCTGGCATATCGTTTTATGACATTGTACCTACGATTTCACCGTTGGAGACGGCCGCGGCGACGACGAACGTTTGGACCTACGATGACGACAAAAATAACAGCGGCAAAGACGAAGACGGCGAAAGAATTATCGAATACGGTGAAATGGAAGATGAGGAAATGGAGGCCGTGGAAACAGGAGACATTGAAACATTCAAGGACGAAAGATAACTATTATAATATTACCCGATGAATACGAAAAACGATTATTATTAATTTTTGTTTCGTTTCTTTTTACATTTATTTAAATATATTAACATTTACTATTTATTGTCACTATTATTAATGAGTACCTATTGATTATTGGCATATTTTGTCTTTGTGTTTAGGTACTTATTTCCTATTTGCGATTTGGATACACAGTCAATTTTAACTACAACAACTATACTAATACATTGTATATACTCTGTGCCATGTGACTGTCTTCTGTGGTCTATGATATTTTTTCCAGACTTAGTTATTACAATATTAATATTTATGTACTCATTAATATATTTGTAAATTTTTTCATTATGTCTGTAATTAAAATCTTTTCAAAATGCCGAAAGCTGTATTTTCTCATCTCATTCACGATAACAATATACTAGATATGTATTTTAAGGGTAAATTATCATAATTAAATATTTAAATGAAATAAGTAAGTTTAATTTAAATATGAATTTATGTAGTAACACAAGTGCATTCAGTTATTTTTAAAAATATTTTGAATTAAATGCCATTATTATCATTTATCATAATGCTTAGACGTTAAGTATTATTTTATCGTTCAACGGTCATTCATTGCAAGTGCCATGTTTCCGGTACCATCACTAGATACTATCACGAGTTTTTTTAAACTCATGTATTTTATAATCATAGATATATTATAATACTAGCTGAAGTATCCGGCGTTTCCCGGAACAAATTCGTGACGAATTACATAACGTGTATTAATACTTACCGCTTTAAATTCATAATTATCGATAAAACAAAAGGTTAGGATACTAAACTTAAAAAAATAGATTTTTTGAAAAGCAATTTTTTTTTGTTTTGAAAAACGCTACATAACTACAGATTAACCAATAATTCTTTATAAACTATATTATTAGTTTTTTCACCCGGGGCATACCTATATGTATAATTTTTTTTCTGAGCTTAAACGGGAGCAGGCAACATAAATTATAATTGTCCACGAATGAAGCAGGGATCACTGATGTCAATTCCTGAAACTTTCATTGTCTGACCTTGTGCCTTATTAATTCAATCAGTTTTAACTGATAACAAGAAAACTGTCAGTTTTCAATCTACATACGCTCAGTTTTAACTGACAATTTTTACTGAACAGTTTCAACTGTCAGTTAAAACTGATCGTGTGTAGCCACTATAAAGAAAGTATATGTTTGCTAAACTCGACGTACTATAACTTAGATTCTAAGGATAAGTTATCATTTTTTTTTAAATTTTACGGAGCGATGTGAAGTGGAATCTAAAAGTAAAAAAAGATTTTACAGTCTCAGATACTATTTTAGTGTTTAAAACGTTAGTAAGATAAAGGTATGTCAACTATTCTTTTTATCAACTTTAAGTATCAGCAAAAAAAAGTATATAATTGTCATCAATTTAAAAATCCAATTTTTTTAACACCGCTTGRTGAAAAGCGTGGTACAAAAACTTTAAATAGAATCCCTAGAAGTGTTAGAGAAAAAGCATCTCAACATATCTCTTCATTTCCAACTATAGCTTCACACTATTGCCGTTCTGACTCTAAGAGATTGTACCTAGATTCAGATTTAAATATTTCAAAAATGTACAAAATGTATGTGAACTTGTGTTTATTAGAATCTACCCAAGCAGTAGGTTACATATGTATAGGGACATTTTCAATAATGATGAGTCACATTTTTATTTACACTTGAATTTAGTGAAATAATATCAAAAATATTTTTTTCATTTGTAACCCTGCAATATTTTAATAATAATGAAATGTTTTTAATATTAATTAACATATTTTAAATATATAGACAATAAAATTATAATTTACCGATTTCAAACAATATAAATTAAGTGAGTCAGCAGATCAGTTAATTATATAGGTATTACGTAAGTTCCCACATGGAAAAGTTAAGTTATTAAGACTCAGGAATGACAACTTAAAATTTGTTTTGTTTTTGTATTGGATAAAAAAAATCCAATTCAATTTGTTTAGGTATTAATAATAATAATAGAAAAAAAATCAAAATTTATTTGGTTTATTGCGAAAGCTCAAACACTTCACTTAGTCATAGTGTCAATAGTGTCATACTGTGTATAATTATTTTTAGTACCTAGTGCTAGTAGCTAAGTAAAGTTAAACATATAGAAATATTACACCTAATATCCCTAAAAAAAACCTGGTTTAATAACTTACTTATGCAATTTGCATAGACCATATGTCCATATATTCCAATTCAATCTGCTAAGCATAGATACCACCTTTTACCCAGCCACTCATTCAAACTTGGCCTAAATGATTCTCCATTCGGTACAATTCATCTAAATGAATGTATCTGTGACTTATTCCATATTTTATTTAACTGCCCTGCTCTATAGGCCAAACGCCTAATTTTAATAAACGCACTAAAAACTCTTAATATTCCTTTTAATATCTACTTCATACTCAACACAAAATCCACAGCTGCCATTAAAATCGTAATTTATTTTAAATTGGATTCTGGCTATATTATATAATGTAAAATGTACTTTTATGTATACTTAAATAATTTTTGAGAGCTATAGTTTTATACTAGTAGCTAATAAAAAAACATTTCAATTAAAAACATTTTTTTTTTCACATACATTTTATCACCCTTATTATATTCAATTTCTTTCTTTACAGCGTTTTTATCATAATATATTTTTTGTTTTTGTTGGTTTTTTATCATATATATCATTTTTTTATCATTTAATTTTGGTATCATATTATTAAATGTGTTTGGAATTTTACTGCGTAAATGACGATTAAGTAACAACTGTGCAGGTGTACTAGTTTTGCTACTTTAGAATTTCTATAATTTAATAGATAGAGTTCAAGATCCTGATTATCTTCATCACTTTTTTGTATCATTTTTTTAGCAATATCAACTCCTTTCTCAGCAAGACCATTGCTTTTCGGGTAATGAGGACTCGACGTTTTTATTTCAAACTCCCATTCCTTAGCAAATCTTTGAAATTCCACACTACCACATAGCATATTGTCAGCAATTACCTCTATTGGTATACCAAATTTACTGAACAGTGGTTTTAACTTAGAGATTATAGTTATGGTGTCATTTTGCTTTATTTGAATTATGTCTAGCCATCGAGAGTAATAATCTACTACTACTAAATAGTTTAAACCTTTAAATTCTGCTATATCCAATCCTATTTTCATAAATGGTAATTTTGGAATTTCATGATTTATTAAAGTTTGTTTGATTTGACTTCTTTTAAATTTCTCGCAAATATTACAATTTTCTACCATACCTAATATATCTGAATTAATACCAGGCCAATAAAATATTGACTTGGCTAGAGATTTTTGTTTTTGAGCACTTACGTGTGTTTCATAAAGTAATTTAAGTATGGTTTTTCTTAATCTTTTTGGAATTACTAATTTATTATTAGAATAAACTAAATTATYTTGTACTGTAATATCTAATTTGGTATTACAATAATGTTTTATTTCTCCATTTAAATTTTTAACTAAATTTTTAGGCCATCCCTCTTTATAATATTTAATAACTTTAGACAATATTTCATCGTCTTGAGTTTCTTTTTGAAATAATTTAAGCTTTTCACCTGATATTATTAATTCTGGAGATACCTGTACAGTATGCACAATTTCGGTCAATTCAGAATCATCATTAACAGGTCTATGTATTATATTTCTAGACAATGTTGAGGCCACACAAAACGCTAAACGCGCTATGTTCGCGATGTTTGCTATATGAATAAAAAATAGTTTTCTATCTTGAAGACGTAAATAGCCACACAGAATAGTGTACGCTACGTTTTGTTCTTAGCTACGTTGCGACGCGTCGCCCAGTGTTTGATTTGTGGCTATATTTTTGAGCGATGTGTCGCGACGTGCGACGTGATGGTTTCGACAGGCATGTTCATTGCTAGTACCGATATCAGAAATTTAATATAGCGTGTCCTGTGATATACGAGCAACGAACAGTCGATTATAATTTTTCACGGAGTTATAATTTAGAATTCAAGTAGAACCAGCGGTTTTTTGAAAAATACAAAATACAAATAAATTATATTTTATTAATTTTCGTGAGTACTACGTCATTTTTTTGAAGTGATGTTACTAGAACAGCTAATAGAGAAAGTACGCAGGTATCCTTGTCTCTGGAAGAAAAATCTGGACGAATATCGAAACCAGAACATACGTGACAATGCATGGGTCAACATTTCAAAAGAATTGAAAAAGCCAGGTAGATAATATGTATTTACTATTTCATAATGTATTTATAAAAATGTATGATTAAGTATTCAAATGTAAAATATTAATATAAAATACACTTTAGTACTATAGTAGAATATAATTAATATAACATAGCAATTTAATCATAATAATAGTAATTGAATAGTTTTTAACTATTTTAAGCTGTACGATTCACAATTATTTGCTGCCATTCAACGCGACCTTCATTGGAAATAAAATATTCTTTGAATAAATTTCGGACATTTAAAGCTTCTCTACTTGAATTCGATGATGTACCAATTCGTATTGGTATAAACACGTTAGTTTCGTTGGTTTGTTCTTCAACAGTCGCTAGATTGGTTTGAGTATTTAATTGACGTGTGTAATTGTGGAGAACAACATTAGCTGAAATTACTTTATCTGCGAGTTCAATTCGACATTCTAATGGACTATGATATACTCTCCAAGTGTTTGCAATGATACCAAAAGTATTTTCCACAGTATTTATGCTTCTTGAGAGCCTGTAGTTGAAAATACGTTCATCCTTGCCCAGTCACCGACCGCTCCGCGTGCTTCCTACACCTGATCGACATACACACACATACAACACATACCTTTTATTTATTTATGTTATTTTGTTTTAGTTAATTGTATTGAATTATGTAATAATATGCAGATTAGGGCGCATCGTATGCCGAATATCGTTTAGCACGGTCGCGGGTCACCCAACCAAATCAGTCTCTCTCGYACAACCGATGCATAGCGGTGTCGTATAATTTATATTATAATCATTTTTAAGATTGTTTGAGCACATATTGCCACAATTATTAATATTTGTTGTGGGCGCGAATCGCCACTTAATTGTTGTATTTGAGTACGGGCGCWAATCGCCAAATTTATATTATTTTGTGCGGCGCTAATTGCCACCCCTTTATACACACTTTTCTTAAGGTCGCTTTCTCGTCTGTTTATCTGTAATCAAATCTTGCGCGCTTGATTGAGGCACTTTTTGACGATGAAAAATTCTGAAAATTGGTATAGACCTTGGTCTTGGATGGCAATACAATTATTCGTTGTCATTTTGTGACACGGACCTCCAGGTAGGCGATGACGGGTGTGCAAAGTTATCTCCGAGGAAGTAAAGGTACGAAGGGTTTCTCTGGGTCGAGGCGGGTTAACCTAATCATTACTAAATTATGATAGCTACTACATACACAGATATCCATCGCGACAGTAGTGGCGCAAAGTTAAGTAAAAAAAAAAAGCGAAGCGGTCACTACCGTAGTATATTACACGATCCAGAGTTTGCCCATTGAATGTGTGTAAATTTGCCCGTTTTCTTTAGCCAGGGCTACAGACCTAATAAATGAACGAATTGGTCTGTTTGTGGTATCAATAGATCGGGCATGATTTGTAGATTATACCTTTGTCATTTTCGAAAAAATTGGTTGAATAATAACGAATATATTAGCAAAAAAGTCAAGTATTTTTGAAGCAAAAAGATATTGTGTTCGACCGTTTTTAGTTATTACGTTTCACGCAGCAGCGCACGAGACCGTATTACCTCCTCTATTCCGTATACGTTTTTGTCGCGGTCGTACACTGGGCAGTGGTAGAGTGCCTTGATAGAGAGAGTGTGGCCATACGCTATCATATATATATTAATATATATTTTTACATACATATGAAATATGAAATAATAAATAATAATTAATGAAGTAAATTACGAAGTACACTACTATATGATGAAAAATACTGATAACTTCAGTATTATCAACCGGTACATCTTTCTCWCAAGGTATTATCATCAACGCTTCCAATCGATCTTCGACCATTGTGCTACGCAAACGAGTTTTAATTAACTTCAACTTTGAAAATGCTCTTTCTGGCGATGCACTGGATACAGGAAGTGTTAGAGCAATTGCTAATTCTGTAGATATTGCAGGTAAAACATCTTTTAAGCCGGTCATATGACATACATTATAAATTGTATGTATTGGTGTCATATCCGTATCATATGGTTCAAATTCAAGTTATTCAAAATTATGTTCATTRTCAGATCTTCATGAAGAATATGATCTGTGACATTGTGAATTCTGTTTGGAAGTTGTAAGAATTTTTCAAAACTAAAATATACATTTGCAAATTGAACATATTCCCGTCTTAGAACTGTAGCAGACAGAAATTTTCCATAAATACTTCTAAATGCATCAACAGGTAGTCTTGAAGTATTATCCCTTACATCCTTTAAACGTTTTCTCTGAAAAAGAGAAATATCTTTAAATAATGGTGCTGAACTTTCGTTGAATCGTTCCTGAAATTGTGTAGAAACAATATCCAATATAACATAATATGATTTTATTTTAAAGTTCTTAACTGGATCGGCAAATTCTTCATCTGATGCAATTTCACCAAAAATTTTTTTAATGCGTCTTAYTCTAGAACGCATTAAAGGTGTAAAAAAATATTATCTTTTCTTGATTCAATAAATTTGTCTTTTTCTAAAACATTTGATAATCAGAATACAATCCAAATCGTTTTTTGATGACGATAGTATTTTTATATCAATTTAATAATCATATCATTACCGCAATTAACTGGAAATATTATAGTTAAAAATAGCCACTAAGTAGTACGTAAAACTGGTAAAACCAACCATAGACTAATATTGTTAAAATCAGTATTGATTGCTTATAGAATGTCATCAATCACAAGTCGTTCATTTTGTTGGTATGTTTATACGATTTTAACTGCTAGCTTCTATGTTTRTTATAGCTTATTCCTACTTCAATATACAGCGTATATACGTTACACATTTGATTCCAAGTACTGAAGTACATATACATCTTAACAGTACCTACGCCAGTATTAGCGAACAATCGTATATAATAATCAGTATCTCTATCCAGACAAATTTGTCTGTTCGGTATTCGTATGCCCAACAGGACCCACCCATTTAAAAGGGGTGGCGGCCATCACCCCTACTATATAGGTTCAGCGCCACTGGACACATAAAAAGGACTGTGCCCAGATCCGTGTTTTAAAATTTTCCATTCTTAATTTGTTCCAGAGTTGTTAGTTTTAATTTTTTAAATAGTCGATTTTTACGACAAATAATGTTTTTTATGTCATAATTTTGTACCTATTTTTTCTATAGGTTACTAATGGATTGATATTTAATTTTGTTTTTATTTGAATTGTATTTGTTTTATATAATGGGTCGATTTTAAATTTTTATAAGATGTTGATTTTATTATTATTATTTTTAAAGTTTTATAATGATTTGTTTATTTAATCTATCGGGTTGATTTTTATTTGATTTTTTTTTATTTGAATTGTATTTGTTTTATATAATGGGTTGATTTTTAATTTTTATAATATGATGACTATTATTATTTTTATAACAATTTGCTTATTTATTCTAATCCTGATGTATCTTTTTTATATTATTCAAATTAATTTAAATAAATATTATCTTGATATATTAACACTTTTGAACATGGAAAGAATTAAATATCCAATGTCAACTATGTGTGACATTGGGTTTTGTGTAATAATAATAATTGTCCATATAAACCCATGTCACAAATATGCGACATGCCTTAAAAAACAGGAAGAAATGGTAAAAACGAATTTTCAAGGTCAAAACTATAAAAAATATAAGTAGGTACTTAGCATTATAAATGAATCATATTAGGTTTGGGTTTGTCCTAAGATTTTCAAAAAGGTCTTGGGCGGTGAACGTGTTAAAAATAATAATTAAACATAGGTATGGTTATCTTTAATGTAGGCTTTAATATAGGTAAAAAAATATACCAATGTCAAACAATATCATGTTTTGAGTTTGTGTCAAGACTGTCTATGGTATCATTCAATCTATAAATTAAATTAAATTAATAAATAAATGAGGTAATAAATAATCAGAGGTATAGGTAATAATATTGTATAAATATACCTAATTTATAAATAATTAGTAGTTAGCTAATTTTAAAATTTTAAATGGTAATAATGCCATCAAATAAACATAAGTAGGTACTAAGCAATTAGCTGCATTAATTTGATAAAGCAATTTTAAGCCTTTGCAATAATATTAAACATTATGTTTAAATTAAATGTATTGATTATATTAYATTAAATATAATTGTTAAGAACCTATAACTACGACAAAGTTGATTTTGATACATCTATATTTTAATAGAGGTATTTCTTTATAATCAAAATGCAGAGTGTGTCGTACGACGCTGCCACCGTGGGAACCGCTGAATGAGGGTTTTTGATGTGAGACGGGGCACCGACTCGACAACACACAGGGAGTCAGTCAGTAGTAGTTAGAACCGAGCATTATACATAACGTATGTTTAACCAGAGCATTTTACATGTATTGTACGATTAGTCGTAATATAACCAGTGTTTGATTTATAATTTATAGATATACTTAAATCTTTTTTCTAACAATTTAATAAATACATTCATTATTTAATATTAAATTGGTGCGTACATTTATTTTGTGTTGTGCGTAAAAACCATAACAAATACCTAGGTAAATATCTCACTTAAAATGAATACCTATTACCTATACCTAATTTAAAATTATAGATTCGGTATTATTATATAGGTAGGTACTTACATATTGTTAATGTTAACTTGTTTTTCTGCTAGCTTCATTAACTTATTGGTACGGTTTCGCAACTGTGATGACAACATTTTTTTTTTCTATTATAATGATAATAATTGACAAGATCTCGGATCAGAATTATTAATGTTGAGGCATCCCGTTAAAATAAAACCAAATAAAAATAATATTGACTAAGGACTAAGGTAAATGTACCGTATATTTATTAAAATTGTTTATAGAAATCTTTGTTTTGTTGATAAAAATGTACAATAATTAATAATATTGTACCATCATATTATTATTGTATGGTTGATACAGTGAATATGAGATAGTACTTTTTGGTTATCACTTATTTATATTGATAGAACCTTTTGGTTTTAACACTATTCTCAAGAACCAAAAGGTGCTATCGAGATCGCTATTAAATAACAAAAGTCTAAATTTGATCAATTTAACACCTTTTAGTTCTGGATAACTCCTTAAATAATGAACCTAAAAAGTTGGATGTGAGTTTGGGTTATATACCATTAACCAATAAACCCATTTATATCAAAAAGTGAATTTTCAAAAAATCGATTTAGCACTTCTTGGTTCTGAGCCCACGATATGTTGGTTAACAATAATTATGTTCTGTTTCTTTGAAAAGACTTTATGCAAGAATCGCAATCAAGTTTTTTAATTATTTTTAAAATAATATCTTATCCCACAAATCCCACTTGGGGCGCTGCCTGAACTCCGCGTTTCTTCCATGACGACCAATCACAACGCTTCCCGTTCTTTTCCGTCGCCGCCCGCTCGCTCACTCGCGCATCTATTCTCTCAATTCTCTCATTCTCTTTTCGTACTTCGTTGTCGAAATGTCGACGGTCGTCGACGACGGTTGGCGTGAATATTTTTTTAAAATAATTTGTTCCGTATTATTATTATTATTATTATTAT